TTGCTTGGGAAAAATAGAGGGTTTCTTTTTCCTAGAAAAATATTTATGTTTACGTGTAATAGGTGTATTGTTATTTAAAATATAATGATAGGCTGGGCACGTTGGCTCATGCCTGGAGATCGAGACCATCCTGGCTAACATGGTGAAACTGCGTCCCTACTAAAAATACAAAAACAAAATTAGCCAGGCATGGTGGCAGGTGCCTATAGTCCCAGCTACTCAGGAGGCTGAGGCAGGAGAATAGCGTGAACTCGGGAGGTGGAGCTTGCAGTGAGCTGAGCACCACTGCACTGCAGCCTGGGTGACAGAGCGAGACTCTGTCTTAAAAATAAATAAATAAATAAAATAAAGTATAATGATAAAGAAATGTTTTTATAGATCTCTCAGTTTTAATATCTGAAGTGATAGACTGTGATAAAGATAACCTAAATAAGAAAAGCTTTTTGGATCCTCAATAATTTAAAAACTTGTAGAGTCCTGAGACTGAAACATCTGACAACTGTTTATCTAATAGAAAGTGATAAGGGGCTGTACTAGGGTAATGGCAAACCTCTGTAACTGGAAATTGAAGAGCAAGACTTGAATAGAAATGAGGTTCCAGATTTTAGAAAGACATTTAGACTTATGTATCATTTAAACTATTTGTTTTTGGATGAATTTTCAAAAGAGTTGATTTAGCTGGACCCTAGATACTACCTTCAGGCCCTTAAAAGAATCAGATCCTTTAAGGATGATTCTGTATTATTAAATATAGTGTATTATTTATGATAATTCTTCTTGCTAATTTCTAGGCCACATACAACAGGATATAAAAAGCCAAAAGACAAAGGATAAATTCTTTCATATGTGTGTAATCCTATAAACCCTCTTTGAAGTTGATTCTCATATTTTTGCTTTACAGAAAAGGAAACCAAATATCAGGAAGCGTAAGTAATTTAGTAAGTCACAAGGAAGTAAATAGTTGAGCCTGGATTTTGAACTGTTTTTTTTTTTTTTTTTTAATCAAAAGTCCACGGCTGTCATCCACTTTATTCTAGATGCCTTTGTTTTAGGTTTATTGGGTAGAAGTTGGTGTGAGGAGTTTTTTGCTTTCATTTACTTATTTGTTTTTTACCATGCAAATAAAGAGTGCCTATTCCATTTTACTTGATATGTATGCAACAATCCAGTGATCAAGGATAATATTGTATCACAATGAATTTGCATTCTCATTAGCTATACACATTTAAATGTTAGATAACACAGAAAAGATCTATAAACAAATATATAAAATGCTCCTCCAATGAAACCTTGGATGTCCCATTTTTCTGAGCTTCAAACCACTGTAATTGTTTCCTGCATAGTATTTATGCCTGTGTTCCTCATTAATAGCCATTAATCATGTGTTCCATTAACAGCCACTCTCAACAGAATCAGGACTAAGCTATTAAAATAAGTGTAGGGTGATGGCAATCCTATGAATAACTAAGCCAAAAGATGTTGAAATTCAAAAAAGGGAAGTGACTTTTAGCACTTTCCTGGGATTCATCCATGCTATGAATAAATACGTTGCTTTGAAACAAATAATTTTTGTGAAAAATGTTGCGTGATATGGATTTGATAGCAATGTTAAATCTAAATTGATAGATAATAAATTAGTCTTCCTTCAAATAGAAAGCCTGGGCTAAGCAAGAAGCATCAACAAAAAGATATTTCTATTGTACAAATTACATATTAAGACTCAATGAAATAAAAGATTTTGTGTTTGGGATCGATACTGTATAAAATAATTATGTTTGTAATAAATTGACTCATTTATTTGCAGTCCATCTGCTTTTATGAGAGACTTGAATTTCCACAATAGACTTCAGACCAATTGAGTAGGAAATGAACAATTATGGAGGAAAGGGGGAATATACCAGAGGGAAACTCTGAAATAACAAAAGCTTGAAATTGAGGTGCTTTTGTACTACATATTAAGTGGTATTAATTTATTATTTCTGAAACATTTTTTATCTAGGTTTCTCAAGGCTGTCAATATATTTGAAAGAAAATTAAATTTGTTCTGCAGTTCCCTGAATTGTATATTAAATAGGTGGAAGATACCAAGATATAAATGTTAATACAACATAAGGAAGGACATGCAATGATAACCAGAAGATTCTATATTCAAAATAGAAGGATAATAACTATCCTCAGTGAAAGATGATAAAGACCAATAGAAAAAGAGAAAATCAATCTCAGCTGAGAATATGAAGTACAAAGTTCAAGTCCTTCTCTAGAGAGCAATTGCATTTTTCTATAAAACAGAAAAAAAACACAACTGTTTCTAGAAAAGGGCAATGGGAATGGGGTTGCTCTTCACCTATAGTTCTAGAAGAAAAGGCATATGGCTAGTCCATAAGTATACACATTTAAGTCCTGGTTCGTTAACAGACTATATTGAGTCAAAAAGGACAAAATATCTTCATTAAGGTTTTCCCATAAAGATGTTTTATTTTCAAACTGTATCATTAAAAAATCACCCAGATTATTTTATTAAATAGATAATGGCACAAAATATATGCTAATCATTTTTTCAATTGAATTCAAATATGATGCACATGCGTATTCATATATATTTAATACAGAAAGAAACACAGAGAGTGAGGGAGGGAGTCCACTATGTATTAAGTACTGTGTTAGTGAGTAGGCCTCCCTTAGGAACCTTATTACAGAGTACAAAGCTAAGAGAGTAAATAAAGTATATTTAAAAATTCATGCAAAAGATGACAGAATCACCATTCCAAAAGATCTTGGTGGGTAACAATCATGAACTGGATTTAACAAGATGTAACTTAAAAGTAAAAAACTATAGTGTTGCACTAAGCTCCCTCCAAAGCAACTATATATTTATAGGAGATGAAACACATGATTCACCAGGCATGAGAAGAAAGCTTCCATAATCAAAAACAATTGTATCCATCTTTTTAAACTCCAGCTCCTATCACAGCATCTGGTCCAAAGCAGATCTTTAGTATTTGTGGAACTGACTTGGATTGTGTTTTGGGAATTTTGTCATTGGTAAACCTAAGGAGAGTCAAGAGAACAATGTGACCAAAAAATAAAAATAAAAAAATAAAAAAAGATTGGGACTTTCATTGTACTGGTAGAAAGATGAAGTTTATAATCTGGCTCAGTTTCTTTTTTGTTTTCTTTTTTGTTGTTGTTTTTTGGTCAGGGCAAACTTAGGTCATTATTTTTAACACTAGAACTGTAGTTTAAGAGCAGATAGACAAGCTATAATGAGAATAGACAAACAGCAAGGCCACCGAAAGAACTCAGAACTACATCTTATAAGAAACAACTGAATGATGCCAATGTTTAACTTGCAAAAGAGACTACTCAGTTGATTTCAAATATATGACATATAATGGTAATGAACTATCACTTATTAAGCAATTACTATTGCAATGTATACTCATTTAATCCTGCTAACAGACATGTGAGGTGAATATTACTAGCCCACCCCCCCCCTTTTAAACTAATGAGAAGACTGTCATCTGTAAGGTAAAATAACATGTCCAAATTCATAGAGCTACATGGTTATAAAGCTGATTTATAAAATGATTTGACTCCAAGACCAAGATCAGGAATTATTACACTGTGTCTTGTCTTCCACATGAACTAACCACAAAGGAATGAGTGCATGCAGACAGATTTCAGCTCAGTATAAGAGAATTGTTACATTAGTTCATGGAAGAATATGTTTTTAAAGTATTTTTGTTAGTGTCTAGGAAATCTCTGTAACATTTTATTGTATAAATTACACCCTTTAATGTAAGAGGATAAAAATAATACTGAACATTGGCAAATAGCCTATGATTAATAGAGTTTACCTATGAGTTATCTGCTTCTAAGATAAATACCTAAAAATAATATTGGAATTAAATATTCCTTTCAAGATCTATCCTCCCTGCTCCCTGAGAGTGCAGTTAATTTTTCAAGACCAACTGGGGACATGTATTTTCAATGTTTATGGTTAAAAGATATATACATGCACAAAAATATACATGCACAGAAATGAGAATCACTTCAGAATTGGTGTTAACTTTAGGGAAAAAAAGGCCAAGAACTTACTCTTTGTAACTACAAATTTATTTCTAAAATAGAAGCGCTCGTGGATTTAGAAGTAAGGTATAAAATTCAAAAACGTATCCATGTTTCTCAAGGACCTTGTTGTAGGCCACTCTAATTCCATACGTTATGTGACTTTTCCTAGAATTTTTACACTAGAAAACAAGCAATCAAATTTTGTTTGGTTTTAACAACCTTCTTCTCAGAAGCATATGTCTATCGAGGAAGTCTTCAGATAACAAGGACAAATCATTCCTAATAGGTCTATGAGATTTAAGATGTGAAAGATCAACATTATCTTTAGTTGACTTTACTGGATGTCACAACCTTCTGATTTCTGTAACCACTTCTTATGCCTCTTCCTCACTGAGACAAAATCAGAGGTAAACAGAGATTCACCCTAAGAGAAATTGGGGAAAATGAGGAACAGGTTTTCTACACAAAAGTTTATTTGTTTCTTATTTCTTTTTCAGAAAATAGAGGATCGCTGTTGTTCCCAACAGGTTTGTAGGGAAGAAAATTGGAGAAACATTATTACATTTTCTTAGATGTTGGCAACTGAGGCAACAAGGACTGCAAAACAAGATTGTGTGTCCCCTATTCCCAAATGATCAAAATTGGCAATAGGGATGGGGGAGCATTGGGGTTTTAGGGTTGTTAGGGTTTCGTCAAGCCAGTGTATTCCCTGCCAGATTTTAAGGAGAAAAAGGCGCTGGAAAATGGAGTGATGTTAGCCCCCTTTCTTATTTTTCACTGCTGCCAAAAACTAACTCTATCTCTCTCCCCAACCCTTCTCTCCATCTCCCTCCCTTAGATGTGTTTGCACAGAAGAGTGCCCAGTGAAGAGACCGACTCCTTGGATCGCTTTGCGCAAAATCCACCCCTTTTCTCTCCTCCCTCCCTTCCAGCCTCCGAATCCCGCATGGCCCTCCCTCCCCTCCCGCAGCGGTGCGTGGCTGGGGATGAGCCGCTGTGAACTACTAAGGTGGGAGGGGGCTACAGGCAGAGAAGAATGTCAGATGCTCAGCTCGGTCCCCTCCGCCTGACGCTCCTCTCTGTGTCAGCCAGAACTGGTTTCTGTAAGAAATAGCAGGAGCTGTGGCAGCGGCGAAAGGAAGCCACTGAGGCGCTTGGAACCGAAAAGTCCCGGTGCTCCTGGCTACCTCGCAACGCGGTGCCCGGCCGGCCGTCAGTACCATGGACAGCAGCGCTGTCCCCACGAACGCCAGCAATTGCACTGATGCCTTGGCGCACTCAAGTTGCTCCCCAGCACCCAGCCCCGGTTCCTGGGTCAACTTGTCCCACTTAGATGGCAACCTGTCCGACCCATGCGGTCCGAACCGCACCGACCGGGGCGGGAGAGACAGCCTGTGCCCTCCGACCGGCAGTCCCTCCATGATCACGGCCATCACCATCATGGCCCTCTACTCCATCGTGTGCGTGGTGGGGCTCTTCGGAAACTTCCTGGTCATGTATGTGATTGTCAGGTAAGGAAAGCACCAGGGCTCCGAGCGGAGGGTTCAGCGGCTCAAGGGAGTCCAAAGAGACACCTAACTCCCAAGGCTCACTGTTGGGCGGGAGGATGAAAGAGGGGAGGTAAACTGGGGGAACTCTGGAGGCTACCACGGACAGTGATTGCTATTTCTGTGAGAAAATCTACTTTTCTATTTTTTTCAATTGATAAAGAAGTAATCCAAAATTTCAGGAGCAGAGAAGTTGCTTTGGTTAAAGCTACAAAGGTCTAGGGGTTGGGGGGAAGTTATAGGGTAGACTTAGAGCTCTTCCTTATACTGAGCAAAGAGGGCTCTTGGCAGAGTCCTACACTCAGTCCCTCTGCAGGAGCTATGGAAAGAGTAAGTTGTGAATAATGGGAGAGAAATTCTAGTTAGCTTTCCCAAATTTGGTTGGGGCTGTGGTGTGTGTGGGGGGGAGGGGGGAGAAGTCTTCTCAGTTGTTTTGAGATGGACCTTGGCAACTTTCCTACTCCTGCTGGTTTAGTACTTCCCTGTACTACAACCCCACCCTTTCTTCTCCCCTACCATAGCAGCCCTTACCCATATCTTCCTTTCATCCTGAGGCAACACTAGGTAGAGGAAGTTTCCCTAGCGTCTCTCCATGGTAGTTTTCCTCCTGTTATAACAAACATGACAGCTGTGTTGCCTAGACCAGTTTGCCATTGGTAGCTTCAGATCGCCTAAGTCACAA